TTGCCGACAGAGGCCCGGATAATGCCTGTCTGTAAGGCATGTCGGGCAGAGCATTCTCCGCTCTTTCAACTATAGTATGGCTACAACTGACTCGTAGCCTTCACACCCTAACTCCAGGAAGTGTGGAAGGCTCTCCTCCTCAACATTGGGTTTAAAGACCACGTTATAAGCTGTCCCATTCTCTTTTTCTATGGGGAAGATCTTTGGTGGTTGGTCCTCCTCACATAGAGGTGTGAGGGCTTCCTCCACCATTTTCGTTGTATAATAGAAGGGGATGCCCCTCAGGACCCCTCTGTGTCCCTTTTTGTCGAGGTGGGTCACCTGCACTTTGTAAATGCGCTGTGTAGCATCTGACCCCATCTTGGGTTTGTACGTCAGCTCTGTTGCGACTAGTCGGTTATAAAGTTTGGCGGATTTGATTACAGCATACCAAACTCCTGGGGAGCCATTGGTGTAGACATGTTGGATTTCCGTCTCTTGCTCCCCTACTAATGCAGCGAACTGTTTTTTAAATTCCTGATTTGTCAATGTCGTTAGCCAGCGGCCATTAATGATCTGGATCTGTACCGTTCTGTCGGTGTATGCTTCTAGGTTGTGAGGGCCTTTGTGCCCGCTGACCGTCACTTTTATAGAAGAGACTGGCCATATCAACATTAGCTCATAAGAGCATATAAGTTATAGAAATAAGAAAAATAAAATGTACCGTACACAATTACACAGTTAAAGTTCAACACACAAAGGGAAATAACACAGATAAATAAAAAAAAATCCCAAATCCCTTGAAAAGAACAAACCACTGAATCCTCACGATGAGAACAAAATAAAACAAAACTAGCGCTGAAAAGTGCTTTTAAAACATATATATATCCATATGAAATAACTTGAAGAAAAATAATTTAAATATCTTTTTTTTTTTTTTTTTTTTTACATTCTTAATTGACTACTTCTTTCCCTTCTGAACTGTGAAAGTGTACTCTTTTGCCTTATGGCTTTCTCTCGCCCTTTCTGAACTTTCAAGAGAGACAAACAGTTGTCTCTCTCGAATGGGAGAAAAAAACCACACAAGTCCTCACGTTGAGAAAGAAAAATAATCCAAAAGAAATACACATAGCACTAAAAAGTGCTGTTTAACAACATTTATAGATGGAACACAAAAAAAGTCCTTGAAACTTTGATAAACACCGCTTTGATTCACTAACGAATGCGAAAAACGAATATGGCGCTGGGCGAGTGACTAGCGCTGTGGAACAAGCCAACGTTAAAAATGTTACTTACGTCACATGATGCGCTGGACTGTACTGTTGGTATTGATTTCCCTGTGCTTGGTTCACGATCCATCAATTCATCTTCAGAAGATTCCCCTAATGGGCTCTCACTGTCACTACTGTCTACTGGGAATACCTCCTCCCCGGACTCCGAGCCTTCGAGTTTGGCTGGCGTTCTCTGCTTACTAGGCGGTTGGTTGGTGATGTGGGTTTCCTTCGGTTCCTTCAGTTTGTCCGCATATGTGGGTTGCTCACTGACCGTTGGTTGGTTGTTAATGTGGGTTTCGTTTGTTACCTTGAGTTTGTCCCTGTTTGTGGGTTGCTCACTGTCTGTTGCATGTCGCTTTGGCGGTGGTGAGGACAAATGCTGTTGTGCGAAGACATAACCGGGGCCTCCCTCCGGTCGATGCTGGAACGTCGTCTGAGGTAGTTCGGGGGTTCTCCCGTCCTTCCCCCTCTTCATCCCTCTTGATTCTGGAACCTTCGTTTTTCCTCCTTCTTCATCCCACTTGTCTATGACGGACCTGTTCTCATCCAGTTCTGCTTTTTGTTTCTTTCTCTCTTCTTCTCCCCATTCAGGGATTGCTGTGAACTTACCGTCACTTTTCACAATGCCGTCCATGAAACGATAGTACAATTGACGGCAAAGTCCAGGGTAGTGCCTATCTGTAAGGCACGTCGGGCACAGCATTCTTCTTTCTTTCAGTTGGAGTATGGCGATAACTGAATCGTATCCTTCACTTTCTAACTCTAAAAAGTGGGGCAGGTTCTCTTCCTCAACCTTAGATTTAAGAACAAAGTTATACGCTGTTCCATTTTCCTTTTCAATTGGAAAGATTTTTGGTGGCTGGTCATCTTCACACAAAGGTTTGAGTACCTCCTCTACCATTTGTGATGTGTAATAAAATGGGATGCCCCTCAAAACCCCCTTAATGTGTCCCTGTTTGTCGAGGTGGGATACTTGCACTTTGTACAGGCGTTGTGTGGCCTCCGTCCCCATCTTTGGCTTGTAGGAGAGCTCCGTTGCCACTAAACGGTTATAGAGCTTTACGGACTTGATGACCGCATACCATACGCCTGGGGAGCCATTGGTATATACGTGTGGGATTTCTACTTCTTGTTCCTCCACTAATGCAGCAAACTGTTTTTTGAACTCTTGGTTAGACATGGTTGTTAACCAGCGACCTTGTATGATTTGGATTTGTACAGTTCTGTCTGGGTTGGTCTCCAGATTGTGAGGGCCTTTGTGCCAGTTACAGTCACCTTGTAAAAGGGACTCGCCATGGGAGAAAATCTTTGCTCATAAGAGCATAAAGTAAGTCGAGAAGAAAAATAAATAAAACGTACCACAAAAAAGGGAAATAACACAGAAAATACTCCGAAAATTTCAAGAGAGACAGGATGTGTGGGCGCAACCCCACAGCGATTGTTGGCGAGAGTTGCAATTGATTGCTTGATGAGTTTGAGTAGGTAGATTGACCGCCTCTCGACCCCGGCAGCCAGCCCTAAAAAGGACTGACCAACCAAAAGGCTAAGATCCATGTAGATCCATAACAGATACTTTTTTTTTTAAAGTCTTTATTGCCACTTTATAACAAGTACAATGACAGCAACATATTTTACATAATATATATACACAATTTTTCATAATATGACATGAGTTCATTGTACAAAATTTCCTGCAAGTTTTGAGGTTGTTAAAAGCTTTGTTTACATTTGAAACAAACAAAAAAAGTGTGGTTGTCAAACCAAAGGAACATAATGTATAATATATATTTAAACAAAAAGGGTAATCATAAATGTAGCTTCCGTAGTATTTCTATACTTGTACTGTAGCTTAATATCACGGATGAAAATAATAACAAAGGTCGGAGGGGGGGGGGGGGGGGAAAGTTCATTTGCTTTGCTTAGAGTGTTGGGCTGGGTGAAGTGTTGTGTCTACTCCGATGTTTTACCTGCCTGAACGTCAAGGGATGTAACTTTTCCTAGTGTTTAATTAATGTGTGTATTTTATTTGTTGTCTCCCTTTGACCAGTCTTCTGTCGGTCGCCACATGGTTTCTAAGGCCGTGTCCTCTGTAAGTCTTTAGTACATGTCGGTCACTGTCGTTCACCTTTTCACAGGTGTGTCTAGCCTAAAGTCGAGTTTTGTCACGTCTTCTGTGCTGTGTCCTTCGTTTGTCCTTTCTTACCATTTGTCTCCGTTGTTTTCAGCTTGGTGTGTTTATACAAGACTTTATTGGCATTTTTACAACAGTCAAAGCCATAAATAGTAAAATAAAGTAAAATGTACCGTGTAATACTTTTACACATATATACACTTGATGTGTAGACTTGTTACAATGTAATACCATCAGGTTTTAAATTAGAAAATAAAATGACAGCATTTTACATGATATTCCCTAAACCAAAAAACTTAATACAGAAAATGTTCGCCATAAGCGAGATATGCCCAAAAAAAAGGGGGCATTATAAACATTGTTTTCACAAGGAGGGTTTGACATGGGGGGTGGATGCAATTCTTCTTAATAGGGATGAGGTGGATTATCTCCCATGTTCTTGTGTCTGTCACAAGGTGGAGCGAGTTGTGAGAGGGGGGGGGATTATGCGTAAAATCGGTCGTTTTACTCCTCACCTGCACGCTGTCCTTGCACTATTTAGCATATAGCCTTACTATAATGTATTACAATCAAATTTGATTTAGAAAATAAACAGCAATTTACATAATATTTCCTTAGAACGGGGGTGTGGCCATTGTTATCAAAGGAGATTTTACATGAGGGGGGGGGGGGGGAAGGGTAATTCTTCCTCCTAGGAATGAGATGGATTGTCCCCCATAATCTTGTGTTCATTTATCACAAGGCGGGGCGGGGTGTTAAAAAATGGGGAGGGGGGAGAATAAGCGGAGAAAACAGTCACTCTACTGTCACTCCTGCACACTATCCTTACACTAATTAGCATATAGACTAATTCTAATATAATACAATCAATTTTGATTTAGAGAATAAACAGCGATGTACATGGTATTTCCTTTGTGGTCTGTATACGTTAGTGTTTGCACAATGTGTTTAATATTGGCTACTTTGATGTTGTCGCGTACGTAGATTCTGTCAAGTCTAGCTGCGCTGTAGTGTGTAGTATTATGGTGTGATACTTCATTGTCTCTGTATATTGTCAGTGTATAGGCGTCTTTTAGTCGTTTCGTGCCAATAATGTCTGTCAATGTCTCTATCTGTACTCTGTCTGCCGTGATTCTTCGTTTCGTTGTCCGTGAGGGTCCCGTCATGTCTTTTTGTTCTAAAACCATGTTAAAGTCGCCTGATAGTATAATGTCTTTGTCCTTGAAGTCTGTGTTTATTTTCCTATGTAGGTTTCTATAAAAAGTTTTTTGTTCTTGTTTGCGTGTCGGAGCGTAGATGTTAATTATCGTTGTCGTTGATATGTTGTCTGTTATTGTAGCACTGGTTAGTCTTCCGTCGTCTGATTTCATGTCTTGTAGGGTATATTTATTTGAGATGTTTAATATGCTGGTTCCTCTGCAATTTTGTCCTAGACTGTGTACTGCATTATTAATGTCTAATGTTTTGCAAAATGCTTGTGCTTGTTGAGTGTTTGCAAAGTTCGTTTCTTGTAGTAATAATATGTCAGTTTTGTATAATTCTAGTGTGTGTAGCAGGGGGACTGTCTTTCCCCCTGCACCTTTAATATTTAGTGTTGTCATGTTAAGCCTTCCTATTTAAAATTTCCAGCTTGGCAGTGGGGGCAGTGGAGGTGACGGTGTTCTGGGGTTGCACTCAGGCGTTTTTTTTTTCCTTTTTTCCCTGCTTGGTTTCGGTTTCGGGTTGGTTTGGGGGGCCTGTGCCTCTACCCCAATGCCCGTTACCGTGCAGTCTGAGTCTTCGTCCGTAGTATTTTCATGGTCACTTAAAATGTTCGTATTTGATTGAGAGAGGGAGCCCGTACCACTTTCTTCTGTTTCGCTTTGCATCTCATCTATAATTAAATCGTTTTCCTCACTCATAGCTTCTTCCACATTTGTCCTGTCCTCTGTCCGTTTTTCCGTTTCACTTTCTTCTGCCACTGAGTTGGGGGGAATTTCCTCCATCTCGGCACCCCTCTCTGTGTTCCCTATCTCCCTCTCAGCGGCCTGTTTAACTTCCTTTTCCGTGCTTTTCCCCTCCTTTTCTTCCCCATCCTTCCCCTTGTTTTGCCTATTCTCCTCCGCCACTGGGGCCCGGGGTTCCCTTTCCTCAGTCACAGGTGTTTGTTGTAGGATTACGTCCGGGGTTTCTTCTCCCCTACTTCCCCCATCTTTTCTTGGCCTTTTTCTTGAGCGCCTTCCTTCCTCATCCTCCTCCTCCCTCTCTTCCCTAGCCATGTTCGTTTCCTGTTGTTTCCCACATTCATCTTCCTCCTCATCAGGATGGAACAGCCATTTGTCATCCCAGTTCAGGAAATGACGAATGCCTTTTTGCTGTATTTCCCCTCTCATTTCCTCTCTATCCCGTTCATCGCAAGGTTCCACGGCTTTATAAACCCCCTCTCTCAACTGTATACCGTCTACTATTCTGCAGTAGAGGTTTACACATTGTTTAGGCGTGTGCCTATCTGTGTTGCAGTAGCAGCATCGGGCCTTTCTTCCATCGAGCTGTATGTAGCAAAGGTGGGTCTCCTCTCCCTTCCATAATCGAAGGTAATGAGGGAATTCCTCAGTAGTACCCTTAGGTGTTATCATAAATCTAGCTGCATTCCCTTCATCTATCAATTGCAGGCTTGGTTCCGTCCCGGGTTTACTCATCTTCTTTAAGGTGTTAACAAATCTTCTTCTTTATAACCAGCTGGTACCCATCTGATTATACCTTTTTTTCCTTTTTGACCCGCGTGTAGAGTTTGGGACTGTCTTTCCCCCCGCTCCTTTGATGTTTAGTGTTGTAATGATCAACCTTCCCATTTATAGTTTCCATTTTGGGGCTGGAGGTGACGGGGTTCTGGGATTGTATTCCGGGCTTTTCTTCTTTTTTTTTTTACTAATTTTGGGGGTTCACCCCGGGTTGGCGTCACGTATGGGTGCGGCACTTGGTTGACTGTAGAAGCATCCTCTATGGCTGTTACAGTGCAATCCGAGTCCGATATCTCCCCCTCTTCTGATGTATCATCCATGTCGCTTATTGTGTCCTCATTCAGCATGGGGGACAGGGTGTCCATTTCCCCCTCTTCTGGCTTGTCCTGCCTGCCTCCATTTTCTGTGTCTTCCTCCCCCTCCACGGTTTCCCTCCCATCTAACTTGTCGGTTTCTGGATTGCTTTCCTTACTTTCTTCCCCAACTGGGGGAAGGGGGTCCCTTTCCGTTCCAATAGCCTTTGAGTTTGAACGTTCCTCCCGCAAAGGTATTTGCTCTGGAGTTGGAGTCGGGGTTTCTTCCTGCCTGTTTGCATCCTCTTTCCTTGGCCTTTTTCTCGAACGTCTTCCTCCCTCATCTTCCATTTCTTCCCTAGCCCTGTTTCTTTCCTGCAGTTTTTCACTTTCTTCTTCATCCTCCTCATGCTGAAGCATCCATTTATCGTCCCACCCCCAGGTAGTAGCGTATGCCTCTCTCCTGTATGTTTCTCAGCATATCCTCTCTGTCATGCTCTGTCCATGGTTCTAAAGCTTTGTATTTCCCCTCTTTCAATTGCACCCCATCCACGATTCGGCAGTACAGGTTCACACACTGCTTAGGCATATGTCTGTCTGTGTTGCAACACAGAGACCTCCTTCCCTCAAGTTGTACGGAGCCTCCTCTTTCCATAGCCTGAGATAGTGAGGGAATTCATCGATGGTGCCTTTTGGTGTTAGCATGAATTTAGCTGAGTTGCCCTCATCTATCATCTGCACACACGGCTCCGTCCCGGGCTTGCACAGTTTCTTCAGGGCAGTCATCAGATCCTCCTCCTTGTATCCTGCTGGGATCCATCTAATGATCCCCTTCTTCCCTTTCTTATCTGCATGCAGTGTTTGGATTTGAAATATCTGAAATCTTGCCGATGATGAACTTTCTAGGCGACGACTTCCGTAATCCTTCATGTTCATGTTTTTGTACAATGTGGTAGATTGCAGGGTGACATACCACTGCTTAATGTCACCATAATTGTAAACTTTAGCGATTTCCGCCGCGTGTACTCTTGTTAGCATAGCAAGCTGCCTGCGAAACATGTCGTGCGGCATACCAACCACGATTGTGGCATCGATAATATTCACTTCTAGTGTGTTTGGAGGATGTGTTCCTACCTGGAACACATCCTCCTGCACATTCCGTTTAATCCATCCATGAGTGCATATTGACCATGGAGAGATCGAAACAAAATCCAACAAAGAAAAACAAAGTCAAAAACGAATCCAAAAAAAATCAAGCGAGTTAATCCAGGAAAAACTTTCACAATTCAAAAGAGACGAGTTGTCTCTCTTGAAAAAAAATAAACAAACCACAGAATCCTCACGATGAGAATAGAATAAACAATATAGCGCTGAAAAGTGCTTTTAGAACATATATATATCCAATAGAAAACAAAACTTGAAAACTTTTTTTCTTTCTTTTTTTTAATAATGGGGTTGAGAGTTTTTGCACTCACTTTTAGTAGATGTTTTGTGATTTTTCCTGAACAAGTTTTTCGTTGTTTTTTAATATTTGTAAGCAGAATGCTTACACAACTTTTTTTTTTGCATAAGAGTATATACATATAATACAAGTTGTTATGTGTCTTATACAAAACGTCTATAATGTGTTATTTTAACCTTGCTTGTCGTTTTATTTCCCTCCTGAAACGTGTTATTGATGATGATTTCTTATGTTTCGTACATCTTCTTTCTGCTGCTCAGATAACAGATCAAAATGGTGCACCCTGTTATTTGGGTGACGGATGGTGGCACTCCGTGTGTACCTGTATACCCTCCAAAGGGAGGCGCAGGCTACAGTAGTGGCAGGAGTATATTGTCTCTGCCGGATGGTTTTTTATAAAGTGACTGTGTATGTCGTAGAACGAATACTTGCACTTGTAACACTTTAAGAGTTTCGCATGCACTTCCTCCTCGTGGTTCTTCGTTTCTTCCCAACCATTGAATTCCTGGGTGCAAAATCTGCAATTTCTTTCGTTGAATGTTGGTTTTGTAGTTTTTAGAATTTTTACTGTTTGTTTTGTGTCTGTGGGGCTGTCTTCCTCTTTCCTTTTTGATTGTGCGCTGTCACTCATTTCTACACTTAGGCTGAGGTCGTTAGTTTTAGAGGTTGCCGTACTCCATCATATTCATTTTTCTGTAGAATCCAATTGATCTCAAGGTTACAAACCATTTTTTTACGTCACCGTAGTTGTATACTTTAACAATCACAGTTTCGGGCACATTGGCCAAACGGGAAAACTTCCTTCGGAAAATTGCATGGGGCATTCCAGCCACAATGGTAACATGTATGTTTTCTTCCAAGGTTTGGGGAGGATGTGTTCCTACCTCGAACACAGCCTCCTGTACATCGAAATAAATTCCGTTCATTCCCTCCAAGAGCGCATGTTGTACAAGGAAAAAGACCGGCACATACAACAGAAATCACAAAAAGGGGAAAACGAAACAGTAACTTAAATACATCAATACGAACCAAAGCAAGATAATCCAAAAAAACAAACGCAATTCAAGAGAGACAGAGTTGTCTCTCTTGAAATTGAAATGAAACTTTCTAACATGGGTTCTATGCTAAGGATATTTACTAGTGGGGATAGCGGACAGCCTTGTCTGACTTGTATTTGTATAGCTTAGGTGACTGCATTGTTGATCAAAAGGTGTATATGATGTTGATCCATGATTTAAAATAGGGCCCTAAGTTGTATGCATCTATTGTTTGCATTAACCAAGTCTGATCTACTCCATCGAAAGCTTTCTGCTGGTCTATACTAAGGATTGCCAGTTGCGTGTTCTTCTGTGTGGCGTAAAATACTATGTTTTCATATATCTTCAATTTGTAGAGCTATCAGGTGTTAAGGTTCCCTGTTTGTCAGGGTGAAATAATGAGGGATGTCTTCCCTTTTTCCCTGAATTACCCAATTCACTCATCCTGACATAAGGAGTGGTGTCTGGTTTTGCCACCTTTTTGAGTAGATCCACCGAGTCCCCTTCCTTATATCCTGGTGGGATCCAACGTACAATGCCCTTCTCTCCTTTCTTGTCGACATGGATGCATGACAGCATGAAAATGATGAACCTGTCGGTTCTTGCACCGTATGACCTGCGGGTGCCATGCTCCGTCGTATGAAGCTTGTTATACACTTGGTTTGATTCAATGGAGACTTACCATTTACGGATGTCTCCATAATTGTACACTTTGGTCACCTCAGTGTGAGGTATCTTGGTTAGAGCTATGAACTGTCTTTTAAATAACTCTGCCGGCATTCCGGCTATTATGGTGGCATCAGTTATTTCAACTTCCACCGTTTTTGGGTAGTGAATACCCTTTATTCAGTCATCTCTGTTAATGGTCAGAGATGCCTCCTCCTCCACCGGTAGAGGGACATCTTCTGGGCTTATTTCTTCATTTCTTTTGTTCTCCCCTCGTGGCTACAAAGATTTTGGGTAATATATATACCTATTAATGAGTGCTGCCCTAGCGAAGATGGTTGTGTTGCAGTTTTTTTCAACTTCTTCAGCTCTTCTTCTGTGGCAAAACCTAAATCAATTTTTGAGTACAATTTTAGATTTGAATCTATTTTCCTATCCAGAAGCAGCAGCTTTTCTATGGATGCTGCACTGTCTAAAATATCCTTCTTAATGTACCTACACATAAGACTCCTCACCAGCCTCTCCAGATCTTGAGAAATGTAGGGCAACATTGGCTTGTCTACCTGATATTTTTCAAAGCAAGTTTCAACTGGTTTTGCCACACTAACAACGAATGACATTTTTGCCCTGCCAAATGGGTCTCTCACCCACCCCTTTACAGTATCGTATGACTTGGTGGCATGGTTCTTGACTTCCTTTTTCTCCACTTTGGCTATGTAACACTTAATGCTGTCATAAATCTCAAGAGCAGCAATATTTGCTAACCACCTATGGCCACAAGAAAGCAAAGAATAGACTGTCTGGCCAGTTACTCTTTCGTAGTCCTCTCTTCGTACTGGCGTGTCTTTAAACAATTAGTGTAACCCTGACAGTTTCTGTGACAACCCCCAACCGGTGCTGTGAATGGCAGCTCTAAAATTGTTGTGCAACGTGTGCAGGCCACATGAACCAATGTCAGTCATTTTAGTACCAAAATCATTTGCAACCTTATCTTGTAAGCGCTTGAAGATTGCCCAGTTGGCATTGGCACCATCCATTGCAAGTTGCACTAAGTTTTTTAATCCAATTTTTCCATTCACTTTTGCAGTGAATGTCTCAAAACCATCAGGTGAACAAGAATATCCAAGAAAATCCGAAGTAAAATACCTAGTAGTAACCTTGTTTAAATCCCACAATCTAATATGAAGGTCGAGCTGTTTCCTCTGAATTTCTTTGTTTAACGACTCATCGAACAGCAAAACAAATGGCTGGTCATGGGTTTTTTCTCCAAAAGCGAGGCAAAATATGGAGCAATCCCAAAGCATGTTAGGTACATGGCTTTGGTCTCTCCAAGACTCATATGTTTTGCAATATCACATGAGTAAAGTAAACGTTCTTTTACTTTGCTTGCATAAGATGGTGTTCTTGTTCGGTCGTTGGGTTGGTGATTGCATGTTTCTTAGGTGGTGGTGGCACAATGGTCGTAGGGCCGAAAATGAATACGGGTTTCTCCTCCAGACGAGGCTGGAATGACGGGTGAGAGAAACCTGTAGCTTCCTTCTCCACTCCCCACTTCAATCCCCTTGATTCACTTGTGCTCCTAGCACCCCTTCCCTCCTCTTCCCATCGGTCCATAGCTCCTCTGTCCTTTTCCAGCTTGTTTTTCTGTTTTCTTTTATACTCGTCCCCCCAGTCCTGAATTGCCTCATATCTTCCGTCTTTCTTTCTAATTCCGTCTATGTAACGGTAATAGAGCTGGTGAAACAATCCCGGAAAGTGTCGGTCCGTTAGACACTGGGGGCAAATCATCCTCCTGTCCTTGATCTGCAATATTGTTATCACCGGCTCATATTCCCCATTTTCAATTTCAATACAGTGAGGGAGGTTTTTGACTCCATCCCTAGGCTTAATTATAATATTGTACGCCGTTCCGTTTTCTTTATCGATCTTGAACACCTTTGGTTTGTGTTAGGCGTCACACAAGGGTTCTAGTAGGTTCTCCACCATTTCTTTGGTGTAATAATAAGGTACACCTCTAAGGGTCCCCATTGTGTGATCCTTTTTGTCCAGGTGTGTAACTGCTAACTTAAAAAGGCGCTGGGTAGCCTCTGAACCTAGGGTAGCCTGGAAACTTAGCTCTGTGGCAGCCAGACGTTCATACTGCTTAGCCGATTTCAAAACAGCATACCAGATCCCTGGTACGCCATTGGTATACACATGGGCAATGTCTGTCTCTTGTAGACCGGCCAAGGATGCAAATTGTTTTTTAAACTCAG